AGATGAACACCTGAAAAATAAAAGCTTTTGAGCTTGTTGCACTCAAATGCAAAGCTAGCTTCCGGCGAGGATGTGAAGTACGATCAGGCCTGACGTCACTTCAATACAATTTGGACAATTATTTGTCAACACCGGGATGATAAGTTGGCATCTTTCCAAAAAAAGTCCTGGCTGAAAAGGCCGATGTTTTTGCCATTCGGCTTTTTATTATTTTATTTTGTGAGCTTCAGATCTGCACTCCGTTGTTTTATGATGTGTGCTTTTCTGATTTACGGCTGTGCCAAATGTGCACCACTTACCGCACAATCAAAGCATGGGCCCTGCTTTCATTTTCTTTCAGCACTTTTTCACCAAAACTGAGCCCGACAATTGATTCATGAAATCTTTGGCCTACTCGGGACCTGCTACACGCGTGGTGTTGATTTAACATCATGTGGTGTTGTATTAACGTAATGTGCTTGTCAATCTGACACCACTGACATGATGTAGAAAACTACCGATATTTCGTCACTGACCGCTGTTGGGAGGTTGCTTCTTCTGTTCGTTTAAAACAAGAGGCTACTGAAGAACAAAACTTAAAAACTAATAAACTTGACCATGTTCATTCCCGGCGTTTAAGAAACAGCATGAACTCAAGGAATTCGCGAAACTCTGTTGACTTAGGCGGGCATGTACTTTTGAATGAAAACAGCCGCGTGTACATCTTTGTCAGTCGATTTTTTCTTTGACAGCGTGTTTACACTTCAGGCTAATTTTCTCACCGTTGTGTTTACAGCTGAGAAATGGCTATCGTTTGATTAGCTGGTGCCCAGTCGTACCCGATCCGACGGTTGGTGATATCAGACACCAACCAGGCGTCTGATTGGATAATGACCCAACATGCCTGAGTGAGTCATCAGCCCAAAGGTCACCCAGGGTCAACCAAATTCTACGCGTGGGCGTCACGACCAAAGCAAACTCTTACATTTTGGGACTGTTGCTAATACTACACGTAGGGCCAATTTAACTTCGTTGTTGTTGTTGTCCTCGATTTGTCACAACACTGCGTGATTTTTCTTAAACATTCTGTCAACTTTCATTTGCCTCTGAGAAAGATTCTGCTGGGATCGAAACGTCAGGCCTTCCATGTTTTGAGATTAAGTTAGGTCATTGTAGTCAGCAAGCAGTTTGCAGCAGCTTTGTATTACATATCTTTGGAACTTTCATTTTCTTTCAATAACTTCAAAACATTTCCCATGGTCATTCACTCAATCGGAGTTAAGTACCAAAAGTCCGAATGTATGAAGAATGTAATGATTTGGTGAAAAAAGGTAAACCGTGATAAAAGCAAAACAAAAATAGCGTGTTTATATACTAACATGGTCATGGTAAAAGAATGTGTCAAAGCAGAAGTAAAAAAAAAAAAGCTAAAAAAAAAATTCATACAAGTTGGGGGGCAATCATGTGAGTGTCTGATGTGAACAACTGAGCAACTATTGTCTGTAACGCTTGCGCGTTATGATTCAACTGCAATTTCAGTTCTGTCCCTGCTTGCTCAGATCAAAATTCAGTGAAATCAAGCAATGGGTAAAGTTAGAAGAATAATTTTGAACATCAATCCGAATAAGCATCCAAATAAGTACAACTCCATTTCTTTCTTGACAGAAATATTGGCATCAAAATTGAGTGTAGTTTGAAAAGCAAAACAGAAGATGAGGTCTCACAAAGATGCCACTGAATATGCTTGATGCGTCCCTTCAGGGACACTGTATCTAAGTGTCCAAGGTCTTGGGAATGTCCCGCGCGACGCTGCACACCCCTCTCGGGGGAGACATTCGATCCGGCCTAGCTAGCCATGACGAAATACTTCGGGAATGTTAGATCCTCCGGAAAATAAGAACAGTGCGTTCCGCCGGAACCAAACATAAGCAGGTGTTTACATTCTGCTGTTGCAACCTGTTATTTTTGTTGCCATGTGTATACTTTTCTGATTTATTGACATAAGATGATTTTGGCGGGAAAGATTGTTTGCAGGGAAGCAGACGGTACACATCATCAGTTGTCGGAGTGATCATGGTAATGTTGTGATACTCTGAAGGTTCTTTCTAAAAAGTCTTCCTTCGTCCATGATTTGATAAAATCTTTGGTCATCGCTCAGTTCATGGAGTTTTATATACCGGTGGTTTGCACAGCATTGTACAACTGGGTTCGTTTGGGATCGAGTCATACATTATCTGTAAAGCAGTACCTTTATGGTTTCCTCACAACATCTTGCACATGTATAACAACATCTTGAAAATATAACAAAATCCCTCTGTGGTCTTAGAAAAAACCTCTTTGAGGAAATGTTTCGACACCTTTTATCTGCAGCAATAAAGTTTTACGATCTTCCACTCAACCAACCAGCTCCACTGAGGTTTGCGACTAGTAATTCTGCACATTAAGGCAGACACTTTCCCCTAATTGGTCATAAATTAATAATTAGTCCAAGGGTAACTAGTGCACTGGTACCGATCTATTCACCTGTGTATCCTGTTCACACGTAAGCAACACCCAACGAGATTTATGACCAGCGGCATAATTCAAAACGACCGAATAACAAAGCTTTTGACACAATTACCGTCTCCGAGAGATACTGAGAGATTTGTGTGCGTACACATGTTCACTGTTTCTTCTTTTTTAAAAAATGGCACCATCAATAAAACAATTTAGGAATTTGTTAAATTGTGGCTAATCTGCAGACAAACCAACAGACGAAATAAAACTCTAGCTGGTGAGAAAGATATATGAATTCGACCTAATATTTTGGATGTTGAGCTCTGAAAATGTATAATATTGCACCATTTGATCTTTTGCCCCTGGGCAGGATCTCTGGCAGACAAAAGTGAAATAGCAATCAATAATGTTCATGTCGAGGCTTTAAAATAAATGATCAATTAAAAACCTCCAATCTCCCTTTTCAATCAAAGTTCTGTGGAAAACTGATGTAAAAGGAGATTTAAAAAAAACAAACAAACAAACAAACAACCAAAGGAGAATCCACGACAGTTAGTTTTTGCCTGGTGACCCAGTGGAGTTCATGCATTCGATTCGCAGCCAATACGCACACTTCACGCGTGGATTCACACGTGTAAATTTTCTCCAGAAAATGGCTGACGTATGGTTGGGGTTCGCTTTACGTCATTCACAGCATTAATTAATACAAACTTATTCAATGGCTCATACAATTCGACAATGATGCACCAAAATGCTGTGCGGTGAATACACAACTCAAAGATTCTGTCCAAAAATGGGCGGACAAGACATGAGGCACATCCTGACTTGACTATAAGAAGTTCTAGAGTAGGCCTACATCATACTATGGAAACTTCCATTCACTAGAAATAAGAAAAATATGACTCTCTGACTTAGTACACGCCAATATTAAAATTGGCGTGACATTTTCCAAATATTGTTTCGACAAAAATCATACATTTGGGCCACCTTTGAAATAAAAAAGCTCTATGTTATAAATTCCGTTGTTCAGAAACGACGTAAAATATAGCAAGGATCTAAACCAAGATTTCAAAAGAAGAAAACTTCCTGTAGGTCCCTAATTCACGCCAGTGTTTTCTTTGTGGAAAATGCGGAACAGAGATGTCAAAATGTATGACAGGATGGTGTTGGACATTTTGATCGAACGTGAACGTGAGGACGTTGAACTGGGGCATGTTCCATCCTATATATCCAAGGGACGCTACTTATCCAAATAAATTTGTTCTGTACATAATCACATGGATGTACACGTACTTGCCTCGAAGCCTACGTTACCTTCTACAAGCAAATAACCAGCATGCACCCATACCATCCGGCTAGATTGAAGTCCTTTTTTAAAATACACACAAAACGAAAATATGAAGCAAACATTTCCAAGGAGTATCGACGAGAATATAATATCAAATCAGTGCTCTGAAATATGTGATTGCCATTCACATATGGCAATCACATATTTCAGAGCACTGATTTCATCTTATATTCTCGTCGATATTCTGATCCCGGTGCTACGCAGCCCTTCCGTATTTCCAAGGAGTGTCGTTTATCTGCAGTGCCCGAAGTCAAAAACCTTGGGACATCGTCAGAACAACACATTGCAGGAATATCCCATCCATCCATGATACACCATGAGACTTGGATGGAGACTGGGCCCCTTTAGGGGCGGGGAATGGGCGACAGTATTACACTGTGAACAGAACCATCTTTGATACTTTTATCGAAGTATTCTATAAGTTGACACGGTACTTTGAGTTAAAGGAACTTCAAAAAGCTTGAAGAATGTTACGAAGTTATCACCGTATCTCGTCCTTTTTCACACATCAAAAAACCTATCTGCGTAATAAGAGATTTCTTAAAGCATCGTATTCCCCTGGGGTCTCTGTACACTTCTTGAACCCAACACGTTTCCCTCACCTGCCCCTCTTCCCTCGACACACGCTCAAACTTCAACTTTTATTCGCAATATTCCTGCATGAGGTGCAAAAACGAACAGGAACAAATCAGTATAGCTAATACGAAAAAAAAAGGTAGGCAGGAATCTCAAGGTGACTCATGAGTCACTAGACAATTCGAAAACTAATTTGCAGGTTGAAATCACCTGGAGTAAACCCTCTTAGATCATAATCCACTCATTTGACAATAGAAAATGATCATCTCGCAGCTATTGAATAGCAGTATATCCAACAAAAGAAATATTTCTCTCCATGAATATAAAAAAAAAACCAAAACACATGGCTTCATTCAAAGAAACACGAACTATGCAGGCATACCGTGGTTTTACCTTGATGAATTTCGAAACTTGTAATTTCCTCATTTATTTTTCCCCTCATTCTTTCTCATTCTTCAAAGTTGCTTTTCAAAGAGGCACTTTTTTCATGACAACAAACACACGTAACCTACTTTCATTTCTGCTGAACTGAACTAAGCGTGGACGTGGGAACGCCGGAACAGAACAAAGTATGAACATTCCTCCATGCTACGAATCTTACCCGAGTCGCTTCCTAGTGGCGGTCAAAGCACCCACGCGTCTGGGTCCAATCCCCTAAGACAAGATGGTTCCAGACTTTTCCTTAAAGAAGATGACTAGTTACGGTCAGACATGCTAATTAATGCTGCCAAAATAAGAACATCACCTGTAGATGAGGTTTGTTTAGCTGTCTTCTGCTTCGAGTGAGCCAGGGGGACCATAAGCTGAGCTCGAGGGGAGACCAAAGGTCTGAGATCACGCTGCGTACCCACTGGATGAGTCACCGTATTTGTGTGGTGGCCCAACTACCTAACGTCTTGGTGTTTTCCCACCAGATGGAGGATCTTCTACGGCAACGTGTAGTTGAGGCATTCCTTAACTTTTTCGTAGACCCGAGGTTTATTTGTTTTCACATGTATGCAAGGTCGCCCACCTATAAAAAAACAATTCCCCAGGAAAATTTTGACAAAATTCCAAACGCTGGAATAGTTACAATCTATTACACAAATTGCACGTCCTCTTATGGAACTAGATCTTGCTTTCAGAAAGGTATTTACGTCATATTTGCTGGACCTGTATATCATTTTACCCAGAATTCATCTCTGTCATACCTTTCTAATAAAATTATTTGATCACTTGATTTCAAAAGTTATTTATTCAAATAAAAATTATGGAAAGGATTGGCAAGTCTTGTCCCGATGCGATTTACCCAGTAAGTTGTATGTCCATATCGTCAAGTGGCCCAAATATGGCTCCGGCTGAACTTAACGAACGAGATAAGTCAGTTCTTTGCGTTACCGACAGTGCATGAACTTGGGACCGACTGCAGTGTTGACCCTCTGCCGGAGGTCACGTGACTAGTGCAGATTCAAAGAATCCTCATACTGTCCTAGATCCTAGGGAAAACCACGGACCCTCTACTCAAGTAGGAAAACAATTACAATTCTAGTACGTTTATGTTGGATTGATTCATGGGCAGTGAGTTTGGAAATGTGCCTGAGCCCTAATAATACATTGACCCAGAAACAACATTCACAGCTTTCACTTTTTTGAACACACTTCACTAATATATGTAATTCTTTCCTGTTGCTCGGTATCGCTTTAGACCATTTTTAGACAGCAGTGTCTCACAATGTTGTACTTTCTTCCCAAATGAAATTAATATGAGTAGTTAGTTGGGTCATGGATGACTGAGCAATGGCCCTGTCAGTGCTGGTTACCGTCATAAACCAGAATCTTTCATTTCAAAATAAAGAGATCTACATCCGGTAGCTGGGCCCATTACATTGTTGATGGAGGTTACAGAGAATGGTTGATGCTCAGTAGGCCTACTTCCAATCATTGCCCCAGAGTCATTTTCCCATACCCAGCTACTCGTCCCCTCAAGAAATTTATGACAAGCGAGTCGTATAAGGGCACTGAGAAAGCATTTGGAATCCAATCGATGGTATGGTCAAACGCGCAAAGACAACTACAGATTGTGGGGATTTTGTACAAGTGAAAAACTGATCGGAACACTATTATGTGCGAAAGACTTAACCGCTAGCACTCACTGTATGGTCTAATCTTGCCAACACTGTAATTTCACCTGTAAGATATTAAAGTTACGAAACTTTCGCGGTGATAAGACCGGGGATAATTGGTCGCTGAAATTACCTACCCCTTAAATCCCCCCCCCGTGCTTTGGCCACCATCTCATGTGATTTCAACTTAATCTTCATATCGCTGTACCATCATCTACACGTTTATATTACTCCGTGAAGATAGCAAACTTTGATGGATTGGGGGAACCACTGAGCGCTGTCGTGTAGATCGAAGCAGCAGCTTGTTTGGCTTGAAGTACCAGTGACCTGATTGGATGTGACATGTATCGGATAACACTGACATGCCAATTGGATTACGTGTACTAGGAATGCAGTAATCACGACGAGAGATACAAAACATTCCCTTAAAACGCACAGAAATATAGGAGTAGGCTCTATGTATAAAGAAGTTTTGCCGACAATACATTTAGGAACATGCTGCCTTCCATGGTGGCTGTGACTGAGTGTGACGTCCATAGGAAGTTCTTCAATGGCCAAAAATATACATAAACGTAGCACTTCAAATGATATGGTTTATTTTAGCAGCGTTGTTTTCTTCAAAGTTTATCAGTGCCACTTGTGATTTGTGCGTATATCTCTAAGGATTATGTCGTCGCGTCTAGACTTTTAAAAATGAAAAACAGACCTTTACAAAAGATATCGCCCAGACAGAAGTTGATTGATCGTAGTTTGCGTGCTTAGCATTTGATGTGATGGATAAGTGACCCAAATTCTAAACAGCCAAATCTGTGACTGATCTAAAAGGTCCGCCGAGCGAAACACATTTTTTTTTTCACATGCGTAACGTGGCCTTGTCGATAGAAAAGAAAATCCCTTCGAAACACACTATTCTTGAAAAGTTGAAAGGTGTAAGTTGGAGCAAACACACGACTCATCGGAGTATGCATGTAGACAGGGTTTAAAGTTTTTTTGCTGGTACGAAGTTGGATTTTCGTACAAATTCAATAGTTAAGGCAACGAAGATGCCAGTATGGTAACAGTGGATTTCGAGGTTACTTCTGTCTTCTTCGGGGAACTGAAGCTCAAGGTAATCTTTCTATTATCTGGGTATCCTGCAGTAGTGATAGCCAGAAATGCAGTGAACATTATGTTTACCAATATCAGTGAATTGCTTGTGAATTGTAGGGGGAAGGTATAATAAAGATTTCACCTGCTAAGTATAGAGAAATCTCAAGATTGGGCTTTAAGAACTCTTAAACTCTCCAAATAGTAATCAAATGTTCCCCATAAACTCTCCAAATAGTAATCAAATGTTCCCCATAAACTCTCCAAATAGTAATCAAATGTTCCCCAGAAATCTTGACAAGTGGTGTGTAGAAAAAATTGAAACATTCAGATAAAAACACACTTTAAAAAAGAAGTAAGATTTCTTTTACCGAGTTAAATAAAGTTCAATGGAGATCATGTGTGGAGACTTGCGGAATTTGAAACAACTTGAAATGCAAGGAGATAAAGCGTAAAATTGCTAAATAGAACAAAAAAATCATCTGCAATAAATCATGACGGTATATTGCAGCTGTAAAGGTAACTTCGGGACCTTTTTCCCTCACCCTCAACACATGGCGTATTGAAAACGCCACGTCCTTTTTCCAGGAAGATGGTAGGCCTAATGAAGTTCATAAGGTTTTTGAATGGCCATGCACGTGCCCGACTTCGCTGTTCAATTCATTGAATGGAATTGCCTGAGGGACACGGTTACACACGACTATATTTGCACAATTGATCGCATAAGCCTTTGTGATTAGAACTTTTTCTATTTCAAGGGCAAGAAAGCCAGTTTTCTATTTTAAGACTTCGTGACGAAAGGATTTGCGGTGACAAACTTCGCAACTGGATGAACTGCAAATTCGTTCGCAGGTATTCCCAAAGTTCATCGGAGCTGAGATTTTAATGGGTTAGAAAAGGCACACGTAACTGGGTTTGCCTATTAACACCTCCATCTGTGACTTGATGCATATTGCTTCACTTGCATCAGTTTTCATCCTTCAGAAAGGTTTCACGAAATCCTTCTCTTTTTGAGACCATTAATCCTTCCTTGGTTGACGATTGATGGTTTATTTCCTTAAAAAATCAAACAACTATGGTCCAGAGACTAAAATCGTGCGATTTGCACTAGAGAAAAATCACAAATTTCTATAATAATCGTAACAAGTAAAAACCAAAAAACATCAAATTACGTCACGCTGAGTTACATAAAAGCCCACAAAATACATCAATAAAAAATCATTCAACAAAGTTATCACGAGGCATAAATGTTTATATCTCTGTGTTGAGCATCATGGAATATGTAAGAAATTTGGATATCTAAGACTGCATTCAGAGATAGCTTGATGCAGACAAGGTAGTAGTCGATGTCAGAGTTCATTACAGCACACCCAAGACGCAAAGTCAACTGTTCACGCCTAGAAGCAAGTTTCTGCACAGAAACTTGCTTAATTTAAAAGCTCAGAGTAGGCCCCCTATGCATGAACACTGGGATAATCTATTATTGGACGTGCTCGTCTCTGAACCCTTACAATACTTGAGGAATGGGCCACAGTTATAGATGAGGACCAGAAAGCTGCTCCATACTCGAGAAATGGGCGAATATACATCTTGTAAATCAACACTAAATCATCTGCATTAACACCGTTCTTTTTCAGTTTTCTTAATATGAACAATCGTTGGACGCAACCAAAATAATCCGCTTGAGCTTGTTTTGTATATTGACGCTGCAGTCTAAATAATCTTCAAATTTACTTTTAAATGGTCCATGCGCCAATTTAACCCATTTTCTGGGCATTTTGGTGCTACCGAGGTTTGCCGACATGTCTGTTCATGACACAAAATGTGTGATGTTACTCTAGTTAAAAATCTCAACGTTATACTTATTTCAGCACGAATAATTGGCTATTTTTCTGCCTTAACGATTTGATTCAACGATGATTCAGTTCTTGACAGTAGGCTAGTTGGAAAAATGTTTCTAACGATTATTTTCAGTCAGCAAATTTTGTATGCACAGTTTGGAACTGACGAATCCCTCATGATGAACACTCTTTCTGAAATGCCATCACAACAGTGCAACAGTGTCAGAAACGGCAGTTCAAATTCATTTTTAAAGTTCAAAAGTATTTTTAAATACGATTTTTATGCATTTTCCAATACATTTTCATACACTGCCTTGTAGAAAGTAACAAAATATGTTCCCAAGTGAATTTTTTGTATGGAACATTTGAAAAGTCATTTAGACCTCATTGAAATTCGAAATTTTTCCCTAATAAATTCATTATCAGTGGTACTGAAAATATCTGTTAGCATTTCCCACTTAATAAAAAGGTTTTAGCAACTCATATCATGATATCAAATAAAATCTTAGAGAGTATTCTTCTTCATTCATTTCCACTGCAATAGTTTCATTCATAATTTTATCCGCAATAATCATCATTACCATTGACATCAAAGCCATCCATATTCTTAACCCCTGACATTCTAGGGATGAGGTTTGTCTAGTCAATAACAACAGATGAGTCACTTTAAACCTGCAAATAAACTTTGATACCAAAATGCTCTTTCTTCAAGTAAGCTGCCATAGGCTCACGAGATTTCCTGACCTTGTTATATCGGTACCGTTATTAGGCAATTTTTCCCAGTATCTGCTATAATCTCCCTTTAAAAGATCCACTAT